GTCTTGCTGCTGTAGACTGAAGACTAGCTGATCTTTTGGAATTTGTCAGACCTTCAGTGCCAGATCGGGACTACTGAGACATCTAGCCTTGTGACTGAGCGGATTCTCAGCCTCTCCAGTGTGGTGCAGCCATTGTTGGACTACTCGGACTCTATCCTGTGAGCTAAGCTGATAAATCTCTATACATATATATTCATTCTACCAATTCTGTTTCTTTGGAGAACCCTGACTAATACAGAGATAAAAATAAACAGAAATCTACTGTGTACTCCAGAATTAGAAGAATTAACATTATCAAAATGCCCATGTTACTCAAAGCAGTACAGATTGTACAGATTCAGTACAATCCCTCTCAAAATGCTAATGAGATTTTTCACAGAAACAGAAAAACATCCCTGAAATTCATATGGAATAAAAATGACCCCTAATAGTTAAAATAATGTTGAGAGAAAATAAGAAAGCTGGAGGTTCATATTTCCTGGCTTCAAAATGTATTACAAAGTTATAATACTCAAAATGGTATTGTTCTATAATGGCAACATGGATCAATGGAACAGATTAGAAACACCAGTAGTAAATTTACTCATATACAGTTGACTAATTTTCAATAAAGTAACAGAGAATTACCCACTGGGGAAGATCTACCATCTTTGATAAATGGTGTTGGGTAAACTGGATATCTCTGTTCAAAAAATAAAATAAAATTAGATCCTTATATTACATTATGCATGCAAACAACTAAAAGTAAGTTAAAGGTTTAAATTCAAGACCTAAGACACAGGGAAAAATATCAATGGCATTGGATTTGGTAATGATTTTTTTTTTTTTGCTATAACTAAAATAAGCATAGGAAACAAAAGCAAAAATAAGTGGGACTGACTGCAGAAAGAGAAAATGTGTCTCTATGGCAAAGAAAACAGAAGAATTAAAAAAAAACAGTTCATGGAATGGGAGGAAACACTTGTTAACCTTATAAAAATAAAACATTGATCTCCAAAATATATAAGGAACACATACTACTCAGAAAAAATATAACTAAAATAAGCATAGGAAACAAAAGCAAAAATAAGTGGGACTGACTGCAGCAAGAGAAAATGTGTCTCTATGGCAAAGAAAACAGAAGAATTAAAAAAAAACAGTTCATGGAATGGGAGGAAACACTTGTTAACCTTATAAAAATAAAACATTGATCTCCAAAATATATAAGGAACACATACTACTCAGAAAAAAGAAATTCTGATTACCTATAGGTAAAGGACTGAGATAGGCTTTTTCTGGGGACTGGAGAGATGGCTCAGTGGTTAAGAGTACTGACTGCTCTTGCAGAGGACCCAGGTTCAGTTCCCAGCACCTACATGGCAGCTAACAACTATCTGTAACTCCAGTTCCAGGGAATCTGATGCCCTTTTCTGATCTCTGTAGGCATTGCATGACACAGGTGCACTTACATACATGCAGGCAGTACACTCATACTCATAAAATAAAAACAATAAATATTTTTTTAAAAAGAATAGTTATTTTCCAAAGGAGACACATAAATGACCAAAAGGTTCAACATCCCTAATGTCAAGTCAATGCCACAATGAGCTGTCACCCTATAAGAATGTAAGTTGATGCAACCTTTATGGCAAATGGTTTAGAGCACCCTCAAAAATTTAAAAACAGAGCTGGCACATTATCCAGCAACCCCATCACTGAGTTTACACCTGAAGGAAATCATCTCATCCCATGGTCACTTGAGAATTATTCAGAGGAACCAAGCCATAGTAACGATCTTAAATGTCTATCCAAAGCTGAATGGATAATGGAAGAGCTATGCTGATCCATGCATCTCACTTTTTGCCAGGACCACACCATTTTTCTTACTGTTGTTTTGGAATGTAAGTCAGGATGTATAGTGTCTGCAGCTTTTTCCCCCCTTTTGCTCGTGAATGATGGAGTTATTCAGCCTTTAGAAAAAATGAAAGGGCTAGGGCAATGGCTCAGTGGGTAAAGTGATGCCATAAAAGCATGATGGCCCGAATTAAGGTTTCCATAACCCACTTAAAGCTGATGCAGTGGTGTGTATGTGTCTGTAATCTCAGCATCCCCTTGGCGCAGTGGGAAGTGAAGACAGAAGAACCCTTGGAAGCTCTTGGGCCAACAGCACACAACAAAAGACCCTGTCTCAAACAAGGTAGACTTCAAGGACCTCTGAGTGCCACGCACATGCTCTGGCATATATACACCACATGCACACACACACACACACACACTAAAAAAATTTTTTTAATGAAATCCTTTTGTAAAATCACATTTGTAAAAATGTGAATGAGCCTGCAGGACATTACATTAAGGGATATAAACCAGGATAGGAAACACAAATATTATATGCTGTCACATATATGTGGCATCTAAACAAGTTTAACTTACAGCATTAGACAATAGAAGGGCTGTTACCCAGGATCTGGAGCAGGGAAACTATCAAGGTATTGGTCAAAAGCAACAAACTTACTTCTGAGATTAGTAAGTCCTGGAGGTGCAATGTACAGTGTGGTGGTATAATTAGTAAGAATGCATTATGAACAGGAAACTTGCCCAGAGATGGTCAACAATCTCACCACACATAGGCAACTACATGAGGTGATGGGTATATAATGAACTTCATTGTGTTAGTTATTTCACAGCACACACACACACACACACACACACACACACACAAACACATCAAAATAGTACAGTACACAGCTTAAATATATACAGATTTTATTTCTCAGTAATGCCTCAATAGAGCTGGTGGTGGGAGAGGAAAGAAGTGATAAAAGCTAAAATAGGAAAACATGCAGAAAAACCCAAATAAATACTTACTATCCAGACTTACAGTAACAATGCATAATTATAGAGCTTTTTAAAGCACTCAATAGCAGTATATAAGGAGTAGTAGCCAGTTTAAATGTATTAAACTCTAAGAAAAGAATATATATATATATATATATATATATATATATATATATATAATGGAAAGATGACAATAACAAAACGTGGGAGTCTTAGTCTTTCAAA